TAAAAACTGTTTCTTACTAGAAATATTTAGATTGATTCAGAGTCTGGATTCTGCTTGGTATGGTAGGGGGTCTTGGAAAGAACCATGACTGTGAATGAAGTGATACTTGCCCAGAATGCAGACAGCCTACTTTCAAAGAGATCAGTTGCATTGACACAATTATGTGCAAAGCAAAGCTGGTCTACTGTTCATTGTACTTTGTTTTTACCATTTGATGGCTGGCCTGTTTAATTCTGAACCATACTTGTTCAGAACCCTAGATTTGTACCTCCTTAACAATTTTTCTTCAGTTTGTTTTCCAGTGGGGTTTTCTTGCATCGCCCATCTTGTTTGTATCACCTGTCTGTTTGGTCTTAAACTTGGGTTTAAACTGAACATTTTTCTTGATACTACAGGCTTTCTAAGAGCGTAGGTTGTGACGTATTTTACCTACAACCCTTAACACCTTGAATTTACCTTGGGGAGAGGGCTGGAGAAAGTCCTTTGACCTGTCAAAGTATGTATGTCTGAATATGATGAATTTGTATTTAACATTGCTCTCCAGGCTAGACTAGTATGAAATATAAAAAGTGCCTTTAACATATCTTTTAAATACATATCTTGTAATACAACTTCATTACAGAGTTTAACCCTCAAAATTGTTGATTTGGTTTCTCCCTCCCATTCACTATTGAGAACTTGGTGATCTTAGACAGATCTTGTTGATGTGATTCATTATCCTGTGGCCTACAGGTATGCAATTTTAACTACCTGTCCAACCAGAATGTTTGAGGATGATCCATCTCCTTAGTGAGTATTTGACCAGTGATGTATTTTACTACCAAAGTTTAATTCTTTACTGGCTTTGAATAGAGAAAAAGCTTAATTCTTGCATCTTGATGGCATTTCATGAGAAGTTAATATGGCTTAAGGAAGACAATGGTCTTTTCTGAAGTGCTGCAGGCATAGGTTGGAAATGCATGATGTAGTGAGTGTATCTAATCCTGCACAGTCAGATTTCAAGAGTAAGTCTTGTGCTTGTAAAGCAAATAAAATTGGAATCAAGCTTATTTTCAGTTTAGATTAGACTGCAAGATAAAGTTTTTTCTCTTGCATTAAGTGTACGTGAGAAAGGAAGTAATACAGTAGAGACAGATGTTCTGAGTTTAGGTGAAGCTGCCTGTAAGATGGCTTTTTTACCTACTCTAAGGCCTTTTGTGTCGAACTTTGGAATGTTCAAGCTTTTGGGTAGTTGAGGAAGCTATTTAAAATACCCTTGCCCTGTTGTGCTCTATTTTTCTCAGCTTGCTGATGGTATGGTAGTGGTAGAGCTGGATGGTAGTTGCTTAGTTTTGCAAAATTTATCAGCTTGAGTGCTGTGTGATTAACTCTGAAGCAGTAGTCCATATGAAAATGCAAGCATGGGCTAACTTACTAAATTTTAAACTAAAAATATGTTCACAATTGTTTGGGTTTGTTTTTTTTTCCTCAGAAATTATTTGGCTACATAGTCTCATTTAAGCAGCCTTCTCCAAAGAGCAAGGACAGCTTGTTAAACAGTGTAAGAACTTGCTACTGCTCTTCTGTATCTTATATTCAGCAGTACTGTCCTGAGAGCAGGAGTGTTTGAGAGAAGCAAGGCCTCTAGTTAATCCAGACACAGATGGCTGAGATTGTCTGCAGTTGTAATTACAGTCTTTGATTGTTTGGAAGAACTTTAGGTCTTTGATTGTTTGAGTGTTTGATATGAAAAACTTGTAACAAAGTAGCCTTGAACATTTTGTGCCTGAGGATTGTACTGGTTATTGTAGAGTGTGGGAATGTCTTTGCGTTTATTTTAAATACAAAACGATAATCACACATGTTTGTTTACCACCTGTGACCTTCTTCAGAAGGAACTGGAAAGAAGCTTTCTCTAATCCTGTTTGCAAGTTGTTCTGTGTTCCGTGGAATAGGGATGCACAATCCCCGTTGCAAAGATCCTCAACGGAATCTGCACGCGCACACAAGCATGTGAAGTACAGATTCTGAAAGACTATATATCAAATGCAGTGCTTGAATTGAGTAGTCTATTACTTGTCAATAGGAGGCTTAAAAAAGGGAGAGGCAGTCATCTGAATGCATCTGATAAGACTACGTAAGGCAGTTTCGTTCCTTAGGAAGTTGGACCTGCCCTGGAACTCTTGCATTACCTGGCTTTTTGTTGTTTAGGACATGGTAGCATGTCAATAAAAGGGGAAGTTTTAGCCAGGACAAGTATGTTTGGGGTGATGAGTGGGGGAGAGGAGGGTAAATTTTGTTACTTTTTTCCTTTGAGAATATTCATGAAGGTTTATTTGCAAGTGGAGGTTCAGGCTGTGCATGTAAGATCTGAAGGAGGTGCTAGGAATTCCATAGGAGAGTCTCAAAACTACCTATTAAGCAAAATTGATTGCATGTTTAGTTTATTATTGAACTTTATTTTGCATCTGAAACATTAAAAGAAACAGTGATACATTTAAACTAGCTAGAAGGTAAGTTGGTATTGTAATTCAGGAATCATTTTTGGTAGAAAATTGATAAAACAGACATTTTATTTAATATGCCAGCATCTCCTTATGTCAGCTGAAAAGCACATTGTGTTGTTGGAATAAGATTGGCTAAAATGTTGATGGCTATGTTTTTCTGAGGGGAAGGGGGGGGGGAAAAAAGCAAGATAGAGGGGCCACTGGAATACCTGTCAAGGTATGCTTTAGTTGTGTAAATCTATTTTGATTAACTTAGTGTGTCAGGAACACCAGCTGAATACTTAAACAATCAACAAAACCAATGTAGTCTTAAAAATAAAACAAAGCTTCCTGTTATATATTGTCTTTTTTGTAGCTCATTATCCTTTGGGAAGGGCAAACAAGGCACTTAAGCTTTCTGCAAGCCATCCCTAGCTAAATGTGCTTAAAATTAAGTAGTGACCAAATGACAGAGTAATGCAATGTTGAGAAACCTTTTGGCAGCAGGGGAGAATGAGGGGAGCTGTCTGATGTTCATAGACAATATTTCTCAAAAATATAGTCTTTTATTCATATTCTTAATTTGTTCGATAAACACACATCCAGTCTTGAAGTAACTAAAAATCGCCTTGATATTAGCGATCTTTATTACTTTATTTTTCTGGCCTGTATCCCAGTACTGGTCTGGGTCAACTCTCCTAGAGTCATCACCTAGCCTAAGGCTAAACTTCTGTCTCTCATCTTCTAAGAAAGATTGCCAATTGAATTAGGCTACTTTGAAGAGCTTTTATGGCTTTGAAATGGGTTGAAAGCTGCTGGAGATGAGATTTATCAAACCCATTACAGTTCAGCATTATTTCATTTGATTAGTCACTCTTGGCATACAGATAGGGCTTGAAAGAAAACTGTCTTTAGCAAAATTATCGTTAATAATGCACATGTTTATATTAGACTTGTATCTGTTGTATACTCTGCTAGGAAGTTTTATTTCACATGCATATAATTGTAATGACTATACATGCTTCATTGGAAGGTTTCAAGAAGCAGTCTTTAACAAGAGCAGAGTTAAACTATTTAAATTCTTCGTATTGTGACACTCGCTTTCTCCTAGCAAGTGTTCTATAACTGCAGCGTGAATGTAGCCTTTTTTTGGGGATATGTGATAGGGACTAACAACTTTCCGGTTCAATGCAGGGAGGTGACAAAGTAAGCATTTTATAGAAACAGACCTCACAAAATTGCATGGGTCAGTCTCACATTGAAATCTCAGTCTGTACAAAAAACAAACCACTTTTTGTTTGAACATTAGGGCATTGCTTGAAGAACCTGTATTGAGTTTTACATATTCTTAAGTATACCAATATATTTTTAATAGAATTGGCTTGTTCCATTTTCTTTTTTTCTTTATGTAACTTTTGGAGAAAATACTTTATTTATTTATTGTACTCTGAATTCTGTCCATGATACTCAGCAAGTGCCTTGCTTATCCACTAAAATAGGTTTGCCACCAGAAGATTGATATTCTTTGTATAAAAAATGTGTACATATGTGCGTTATTAAATTATGGTACTTTTAAGTTTCTCTAAGCATTTAGTTATATAAAACATCTTAAAGTGCTAGTATATGCTGGAGTCCCTGATGAAGTTTATAAGTTTGTTAGGAAAACAATTGCTCCCATCCTCGTGCTAATTAGACTTTTCACACTATTTTAAACTCTCATCCAGTTCAGTGATCATTTTGACTTTTCAAATACTTTTTTAAAAATAGGCTATTTATACCTTTTGCTCTTACTTTGTTGAATCATTAAATGTATTTATCTGTTAGCGTGTTCTTTACAGCTTTAACAGAGGTCTTTCATTTTTGCAACGAAGTTCAGGTGAGAAGAAATGAGTTGTCTTAATTCTAGGTTGAAAATGAAAAAAAACCACTTTTGATTTTCCTGTCTACATTCAAATCAAGCATGCTTTGCTCAAGTCAAGACATGATCGAGAAATTCTTTGCAGAATTAAAGCCTTAGTCTGGATGGGTTTAGTACCTTTTTGTGCTTTTACACCTACAAATTTAGAATCAAACCCCAAAGAATTAAACCAAAAGGACTTATTTAAAGGTATTTAGTGGTGTGGTTTTTGCAAGTTAAGCTGGAGTGATTAAAGGAATGGCTATCTCTTAGCTATAGATATAATATCTCAGCTGCAGGACTAGTGATTTTGTATAAATGCAAAAACTGTTGCCCTTAAATAGCTTTTAGTGCTTAGAAAGAAGGCAATGACAAGGGCCATTACTTTATTTCTACTCTAGGAAAACCAACTTTCACATAGTGACCAAGTAAATAGTTTGATGGAGGTGGCATCTTAAATTATCTTAACTAGATCTTGTAGATCTACTTAGGTATTTTACTCAGTAAATGTTGGATCTTTAAAAGACTACTGTGGAAGGAGTAATGAGCTGTTGTTCTAATAGAGTTGTTGAAGTCCAAATATTTCATGATCTGATGACAACTTATTTTCTCTCCAGGAGTGCATTGTAACCATCCTGTCCTCCTTCAGCTGCTTTCCCTTCAGTGGGCCTGGTAAGTTTCTATGTTCAATTAAAAGTAGCCTTGTCAATACAAGAAGGCTTAAGTTATTTTTGGCCATTCTTCTCCCCTCAGATGTGACTGTGGAGTAAGAATAAGGTTCTTCCTTAGTTCAGCTGTTTGTCTTGTCAGCTCTACTTGGAATTGCAATATCCAGTAGCAATATATGTATTATGAATCTGAGCCAGCAGTGTGCCCAGGTGTCCAAGAAGGCTGATAGCATCCTGGCCTGCATCAGAAATAGTGTGGCCAGCAGGACTAGGGAAGTGATTGTCCCACTGTACTTGGCACTGGTGAGGCTGCAGCTTGAATCCTGTGTTCAGCTTTGGGATCCTCAGGACAAGACAGACATTGAGGTGCTGGAGTGTGTCCAAAGAAGGGCAATGAAGCTGGTAAAGGGTCTTGAGAGGAAGCCTTATGAGGAGCAGCTGAAGGAACTGGGGTTGTTCTGGAGAAAAAGAGGCTGAGGCCTCTATTTTTGAGAAACTTGCCTTTCTGCCAAACCTTGGTATATCAAAATTATGAATTCTACATCTTGAAGTTTTGCATGTTGCATATTTTATTTTCATATAGTTGTTTGGGGGAAAAAAAAATCACAAAACCGAGAACTTCCCAGTTGAAATAGGGCAAACTGTAGGTGGTTCCTGTTTTTTGTGTTGATGTGACTGCAAAACTTTGACTTCACATGGGATCGTGTCTGAATATGTTCTATTCATGTAGCTGCAGCAATGCAGAGCTTAATGGATCCTGATGTCTGCAATAAGGCAGCAGTTCTAATGAAAGCTGAGATGTTTCCTCTTCATTTAAACCATATAAAAATAAAGTATATTCAATGTTTTCTCCATCCAGAATGAAGACAAATGTAAAGATGGCATGTCCAAGGAATTTTAAAAGGTGTAGACCTCCAGACTGAGTAGTGCTGTGTATTTTTATTCTCTTTAATTAGTAAAGTAAGTATGCATCAAGCCTATGTTGCAGGGTGTTAAGTGTGCTGGTTTACATGTGTGACAATACTGGACAATAACAAGTTATTAGCTTCATTTTCATCCTGTCAGTATGCTTAATTCTCTTGATGTGGGAAGATGGGGAATTACATAAGAATGTGTAATGCAAAACTGCTCTTGAGAATTCTTGTATGTTCTCTAATTGAGTAGAATGACTTAATCTAGTAGAAAATTCTATATTGCAAGAGCCACCGTGTTAATATATTGTTCTGGAATTTTTCATAAATGAGAAATGACTTTTGTCATGTAAGTTTAGGACAGTATTGAAAGACTGCTAGTAATAACTTACAGTGCTTGTTGCTTCTATTTGAGCGGAACCCAAATGTTTGATCAAAATACACTTTCTTCTAATTTATGATGCTAATTTCACTCTTCATTTTAAGGTTTTTTTGTATTGTAAGTAACTTTCCTTAAAAATCCGTAAGATGATGGGTAAGGTTAAGTGCCAGAAGTTCTTGGGTCCTATTGCTATGCTTTGGATCCTAGGCCACATGTTACACACTGAAAACTGTAATAAGCTTCAAGTGTTTAATGATGAGAGAAATTGTTTTCAACAATTATCTAAGGATATCTTTTTTTCTTTTTTCCTCTACCAGCTGCTGTTCTCTCACAGGTGAAAGTCATGATCACGCTAACAGAACTCAAATACTTAGCAGATGCTCAGTCATCCTACCACATACTAAAACCGTGGTGGGATGTCTTCTGGTATTACCTCACCATGATAATGCTGCTGGTTGCTGTGCTTGCTGGGGCTCTCCAGCTTACTCAAACCAGAGTACTGTGTTGTCTTCCTTGCAAGCTAGAATTTGACAATCATTGTGCTGTGCCTTGGGATATAGTTAAAGCTAACCTTAACATGTCAGCTAGCTCTGCAGCACAGATAATCATCCCGCTTAAAATCCAAAATGATCTCCATCGACAGCAGTATTCCTATATTGATGCAGTATGTTATGAGAGAGAGCTTCACTGGTTTGCCAAATTTTTTCCATACCTAGTGCTTCTGCATACCTTCATTTTTGCAGCTTGCAGTAATTTCTGGCTTTATTATCCTAGTACAAGTTCCAGGCTTGAGCACTTTGTAGCCATTCTTCAGAAGTGTTTTGATTCTCCATGGACAACACGTGCCCTCTCGGAAACAGTTGCTGAGCAGTCTGTGAGGAAGTTGCCAATAGCCAAATCAAAAGCTGCAATTTCATCACCTGGGAGTTCAGTAGATATAGGGGCCAGCAGACAGTCCCTGCCATATTCACAAGCTGGCTTGGAAACAACTGGAAGAGAAAATTCCTCGAGTGTTCTTGACAAAAAAGAAGGGGAACAAGCTAAAGCGATATTTGAAAAAGTGAAGAAATTCAGAGTGCATGTTGAAGAGAAGGATGTCATATATAGAGTGTATATGAAACAGATTATAGCGAAAGTAATTGTATTTGTAATAATAATAATTTATGTCCCCTACTATTTATCATTTATTACACTTGAAATTGATTGTGTAGTTAATGTTCAAGCCTTTACAGGCTACAAAAGGTACCAGTGTGTTTATTCGCTAGCAGAAATTTTTAAAGTCTTGGCTTCATTTTATGTTGTTTTAGTGATCTTCTATGGCTTAACTTGTACTTATAGTTTGTGGTGGATGTTAAGAAGTTCACTTAAGCAATATTCTTTTGAGAAGTTGAGAGAGAAAAGTAATTACAGTGATATACCTGATGTAAAGAATGACTTTGCATTTATTCTCCACTTGGCAGATCAGTATGATCCCCTTTATTCCCAACGATTCTCAATATTCCTATCTGATCTGAGTGAAAACAAACTGAAACAGATAAATCTTAACAATGAGTGGTCAGTGGAAAAACTGAAAAATAAACTAGTAAGAAATTCCCAAGACAAGATTGAACTTCACCTTTTCATGTTAAATGGTCTTCCAGACAGTGTCTTTGAACTGACAGAAATAGAGGTCCTAAGCCTGGAACTTATTCCTGAAGCCAAACTTCCTTCATCTGTGACCCAGCTAGTCAATCTCAAAGAACTCAATGTTTATTATTCATCACTAACTATGGATTATCCAGCAGTCAGCTTTTTAGAAGAAAATCTGAAAACACTGCGCCTGAAATCTAGTGAGATGGGAAGAATTCCGTTTTGGGTCTTTCATCTAAAAAACCTACAAGATTTGTGCTTAACAGGATATTTCATGCTAGATCATCATAACTCCATATACAACGAAAGCTTTCAGGGGCTAAAAAATCTGAGATCAATTCACTTAAAAAACAACCTTTCCCGTATACCTCAAGTGGTTACAGATCTTCTGCCTTCTTTACAACACTTGTCTATCCACAATGAGGGAAGTAAACTGATAGTACTAAATAACCTGAAGAAGCTGGTAAACCTCAGAACCTTGGAATTAATCTGCTGTGATTTAGAACGCATTCCCCATTCCATTTTTACCCTCAACAATTTGCATGAAATTGACTTAAAAGAAAATAATCTTAGAACAGTGGAAGAAATAATTAGTTTTCAACACCTTAAGAACCTTTCTTGCTTAAAATTGTGGCACAACAGTATTTCATATGTTCCAGTGCAGATTGGTGCATTATCAAACCTGGAACAATTGTATCTAAATTATAATAATATTAAAAATGTTCCGTTGCAGCTATTTCTTTGTAAAAAATTATACTATTTGGATCTTAGCTATAATAAGCTAACCTCCATCCCTGAAGAAATTGGTTTTCTGACCAATCTGCAGTACTTGGCTTTGACAAAAAACCATGTAAGTAGAACTTTGAATTACTATTTAAAAAAACCCAAACCAAATATTGACTTTACCTACCATTTCTTCTGGAACAGCCTCTGGTTCAAAATGCTTTTATGATGTTCATGATTAAAGTAAATGCAGTAAAGCTGAAAAGAGGGGTGGTGCTTGTTTAATTACTAAAACTTTTGTGTCATCAAAGGTTGTGGAGTACTGAGTAAGTACTGTCCTGGTTTGTAGCAGCGTAAGGGCTCTTAGATCTGGTGTAGATGAGCATGGCTGCAGAAATGTATCTTTCCTTTCCCTGCAGCAGTCTATCCTATGGAGTATTTTAATGGGATTGTTAAATTTTTGCCTTGAAATGTGAAACTGAAAGCTGTAGCAAATCAACAGCTAATTGCTGAGGAGCTCAGCTGTCTGATTGGGAAGAGGGAAATAATCATAGCTGGTAGCCTCAGCAGCAGTACTAAACTAACTGGCTTGTTAGTGTGGGATCTAGGCTTGTGACTTTAAGACTCCTTCCTGAAGTTTATAGTTGTTTTTGCTTGTGAGGTTGGGCTTGAGTGTTATGACATGTCAGTAGTGCAAGAGAGCAGCTGCTAATGTCCTTCCCCTATCTGTTCTTTGTGAAGTGATTGGTAGGAGATGGCAGCCTATTTATCTCCCCTGCAACCTGCATGCTTTTGCATGCACTGCTGTGCATGCACACGTGTGTATGCTCTCACCTGCCCTACCTATAGCTTGACTTCTGCCAGCAGCTAAGCGTCTTCATAACAGAACAGATGTATAAAACCATTGTTGTGTTCTCAAGCACTTGATCGCATAATGATAGAAGCATTACAATCTCCCCTTTTCTTGTCCTTCTGTAAACCAAGAGGTTTTTCTACCCTGAAATGTCAAAACATGCAGCTGCATGTAGGCTTACTGCTTCTAATGTACATGATTTTTCTTCTTTCCTTTTTCTAGATTGAAATGCTACCTGATGGATTATTTCAGTGCAAAAAGCTGCAATTTCTTCTTCTGGGAAATAACAGTCTGATGGACTTATCCCCTTGTGTAGGTCAGCTACTGAATCTTGTTCAATTAGAGCTCACTGGAAACTATCTTGAATCACTTAAGAATGTCAGTTCTTAAAACGGAATGGTCTTATTGTAGAAGAAAGATTGTTAAAAACACTTCCACCTCGAGTAAGAGAGCGTTTGCAGACATGCTCAGACAAGAGCTAATTTTAAAATGAAACTGCATCATTGCATTCTATAAGCCTTTTCTTAGTATCTCTCTAAAGATCTGTATAGGTGGAGGGAAGTGAAGAAGAGAGAACAGTTTACAATTCAGTCTTAAACACATTGAACTGAGTTGATTGTATTGGAAAAGAAACTTTTTTTTCTAGATTTGAACAAAAAAATGCAGCCTTTAACAGGCAATCATATGTTTGAAAAGTCTGAAATACAAGTTGTTGTTTAGTTGAAATAATTCTGTTAAATGTTTACGGTAGAATTGAAATGGAAGAATTGATTGCCTGCCTATAGCAAGAGTGTATATACTTTTTTTCCTATGGGAATTTTTTCTGTTGATAGTGGTTATTTCAAGCAGGTTCATCTCCTGCCATATGAGGTCTAAGAACTCTCTGGAATTAGTTTCTAAATATGAACTCTTCACTAACTTAGAATATGTTAAATTAAGAGTTTAACCTATTTGAGCAGGTCAATTGCATGGGATATACTGAAAGTAATATTTCAACATACCGTAATTTTTAAAGCTTTTGACAAGTATTGAGCATTAATTCTCTAATTGTGGAAGGTGCCATTTGAATCTTGCTATTAAAAACAGTTGGACAATAATATCTGAAACCAGTTTCAGTGTTTTGTCATTAAAATAGTAAATGCGAAATGAATCATTGCCTAGAAATTGGGAGGAATCAGAAGAATCTGGAGTAACTGTTGTGTGCGTGTACTAGGCATCAAATCTTATAGTACTGATCTTCAAAGATGGCAAACAGAACATGATATAGTTGCAAAGTTGTCTTCTGTGTGTTGTGAGTATCCCCGATGTTAATGTAGTGTATGTTGCTGTTTAACATTTTGATAACTTCTCATTACAGACTGCCTCAGTGCTGCTTCTTCACACCTGGTTACTGTGTTTTGGTGGCTGGGGAGGAGATGAAGGGAATTTGTATTAGATAGAAACAGAAAGACACAGTTAAACCAAATAATCACATAGCTTATAAGCACTTGGGAAGTAAAAACAGAAAGCACTATAAACTTCTAGGGATGTAATAATTTCATAAATTATAGTGGTGGAATGAGCTCTTATGCCATCCTTAATACTTACAAAATCGGCTGGAAATAAAATGGTTCCTGACTTCATTCTTCTGCTGTGTGCTCTTTTGTTGTATTTGAAGTCTTAACTTTCATGATGTTTATCATGTTCAATGGAAACATAAGTTATGCCCTTGGGGAAGAGAAAAGCATGCTTTCCAAAAACATATGTGAAAACTTTTTGTACTATATTAAAGTTTTTCAGAATTTTAAGTATCTATTATGGGTTAAATAGATGAGGTAAACTGTACTCTTAATGATTTTGTGTTCATCAGGTATGCCAACTATGCATTCCAGTGCGTAATAAAAAATTACCACAGATAAACCAGTTGTAGTACTAGACAACTTCTAGTCATCTCTTGCTCCCATTCCAGTGCCACTTTTGTGGAGAGAAGGTTTATTTTGAATGAAAATGCCACAGAAGTAGGAGATGCCTCTGCAGTAGCACTGCAAGAGGTGCATGTTTATTCACCGTACTGATGGCATTCCAAAGACGTTTGTAGTTAGAGCACTTTTCTCAGGGAACCAAAATGTGGTAAAACTATTACTTTTTATTGTAGTTTTAGAAATGTTTAGTGTAATCTGATTAGTTGTGTTCATATGCAGACCAGCGCTGCTGGAGCAGTCCTTCATAGTGTCCATATATAGCTCTTCCAAACTCTTTCATCTAATCTTAAATTTTGTAATGGTTCTATAGGAATTGACATGGATCACAGAGCTAGCTGTGATATATGTGATTAGAGTACATTGATTTTTGCACCATGGTGGCAAGGGTTTTGTTCGTAATTGCAGTAGATCTGCCAGGACTTTGTGACTTAACACTGAAGAACACTTGATGCCAGATTTTGACATGCAAGACTTGCAGTCTAGTGATTTTTAAAAGATTAAGCAAGCATTTTCTCTAAAGCTTTTTTTTTTTTCCTGAATTGAAGAGCTGTATTGAGAAAGTTAATTAAGGGAGTAAATGGCTTGACCAATAACTTCTTTTAGCAGTGCATCTCTCCTTTTCCATAATCAACAAAACTGATGAAGATGAGAAGTGATCTTAAATGTGCATTTGATGTTTTTTCTGTCAGGGTGAAACAGAAATAACTTGGAGAAATGTACTTAATTTTTAAAATTTGTAACATCAAAGGATTTAAAGAAAACTAAGAATTGCATAAGAATATAAATACTTTTTTATAGGTTAAATGGGTTAATTTTCTTTGCAGACTTTATTTTCTCACTCTGTACCCCCTCAAGAGGGCTGGATTTTTCTTCACTGCATATTTGAGTGTTTATAAACCACTCAGACCTGAAAGCTTAAAGGCTACAATCTCTAGCCTTGCTTTAAAACCACAGCGTGCCTTTATTGTCCATTTTGTACCATGAAACCCAATCCTAGGGCTTAGAATTGAGGATGGAAATAAACACAGCTCTGAATTTCTTGGGTTTACTTCAGCCATTACCTTAATATTCAATATTTCTTCAAAAGGAGAGATTTTTTTCAGGGAATCATTACATGAATCCACTGTCATAAACTTTGTACCAAAGTATTGTTGGCATCTAGTCTTTGTATTATAAAATCACTTCCAATCAAAAGAAGACTTTTCAACTTGTTTCAGTGTTGTATTGTGTTTAAGAACTTTGTATTGTGACCTTCCGTATCATATTTTTTTGAAAAATTAAATTTTGTTTGCATTACAATTCTATGAACTGTTCTTTATTTTCCATATGAGATGTTACATTTAATCCAAAGCTCAGAAGTCTGCTTCCAGCTATTTGTACCTTTGTTCTAACAGGTGTATCTTCCACAGGAAAGTGTGAAGGCAATGAAAAGCAGTGGTAAATGAGTACTGTGCTTGATATCAAAGCAGTTATGTTCTGGACTAGAAGACAAGCTCCTGTGTTGATTTAGAACTAAGCTGCCATCTTAAGCCTTGTTACAGAACTTTTTTCCAGCAATCCAACCTCAATTTTTCTGAGCTGGATAAGTATTGACTGCAGCCTGGAATTGTACTGGGAGCAGTGAGAAAGCAATGCTTCTCCTCCCAGCTTGGCACATAGAGCTGTCAGACAAACTGCCAAAAATAATGCTGTTTGTAGTAAATTGTGAGTATCTTTCAAGTATTGCACATTGTGTTAGCCCAAAGATCTCATTTCTCTTAAAATGTGAGATACCTGATGGCTTTTTGTGGCAATCTAGGTTTGGCTCCATGTTTTGAAGACAAAGGGGGAAAAAACCAAACTAAACATGCGAGTAATGTTACGTATTAAAGTGTTAGCTTGTTATCTTTCAAAATAAGAACCTTCCTAGCAAGTTTTACAGAAATATGGCACTCTCTTCTTGGAGATGAAATGAACTGATTAAAAAATCATTATGGTTTACCTGTTTTGAGGTGGTAGTATAAAATAATGCAGATTGTTCTTAAAGCTGTTGTTTCATGCTCCTACAGATCCATGTATTTTGTTTTTGTGGCAATTTACTGCAGTTCTAATGATTTCTCTTTTTTTTAACCAGTAGATTTACATCGTGCTAACAAACTTTCTTGGTATGTAGACTTTCCATCTTCAAGAACGTGACCTGAAGTTAATTTTGGAATCACTTCTAGTAAGTGACTCTCTCCCTTCTACCTTTCCACCCCAATAAATGCTGGGATTATAGAGAACAACATAGGAGAAACTGAAGAGTTCTGCTAGCAGATATGTGGCTGCAAATTCTGAAAGCAAGAGGCAGTGCATGTCATCCTATGGGTTATTTATAGCAAGGATTTGGGAGAACTGTGATTATTTCTGATCAATCTCTTATGCTTTATTTGGCCTTGTTGGGTGGGCGAGTCCCTCAGATGTGCAAACATGGTAATGCAGAGAGAATGCAGAGACTGCGCAGTTCTACAGCTAGCGTAGGCTGTAGCGACAGAGGGGGAGGCAGCAAGCAGTGATGCTACAGTCCTGTATGCTTGGTGGATACAGCATTGTCTTGGCAGTTCCTGTGCCTGGAGAAGTTGCTATCCTGGCATTACGTGAAGAGTTTATCCCAGTCCTCCACCGCTAGGATGTAGGGACAGAGTGGGAAGCAGCAGTCCACTTCAGGGCTGGACAGGTGTCTGAAAGGATTTAGGCATTAACTCAGTCTAGTGTGTTTGGTAAATGAATTATTACATCTCTGCCCTGTTGCTTCCCTATATTCCTCCATTTACTTGAATATCTGTTCTCTCTTTGTCCAGCCTCATAACTTCTAAACCATTTTTATTATTTTATACAAATGTGCCCTCTGCTTGGCAGGAGCTGGCTAGAAGATTTTCAGGTGGTATGGATATGCAAGCCATATGCATTTAACATTCAGAGAGGTGGAGAAGAAGGGATGAGAACTGGTCTATCAGCAGAGAGGGAAAAGAAGTAATTGCCCAAAGTAAGAGGGGAGATATCTGAGAGATCATTATTACTACTTAGCTGAGCAAGGCTGTTGGGAAGCTATTGGGAGGGGTACTTGCTAGCAGGCAGTTATGACAGTGTGGTGCTTAACACAGTGAAGCAGTAGGCTATAGTGCTTTGGGTCATGCTGTTAAACAGGTGAATTTATTACTCATTGCTTTTCTTGTCTTCTAAAAATGATAGGTATAAATCTACAGCTACTATTTAAGCTAATAAAAATGAATAAAACTTTTCTTTCCCTTCCCTCATACTTGCGTATCTATGTAGTGCAGAACTAATACTTTTGTCAAAAGGCATTGTAAAACAGCTAACATGATTAGCATTCAGAAAGCGTGCAAGGGTGAAAGCTGTAATGGGGAGGTATGTAGAAATGCCAGTCACTGCAGTGACTGGTCAGGAAAATAGGAGGAACATAGCTCACTACTCTTAATTGAAAACATAACTGACCTGCAAGTAAATAGTGAATTGACTGCTTATTTTAAGTCAGCCTTGCTTAGCAGCAAAATTGCTTTAAACTGTGCATGAGAGAGCTTGGTGGGGTTTTTGAGTCAAGTTGCTCGTTACAGCTACAGGTGCCTAACCCCTCTGCATCAGTACAGGAGAGGTTCCAGTCCTCTGTCTTCCCTGCTTTCTCCCTGTGA